CAATCTGTCATCTCGAATGGTCGTGGTGCAGTTGCCTGCCAATTTGGATGGTCGATTTGTCCCTTCGACCGGCTTACTGCTCCAACCGTCGGTCACTGTAAGGAGTTGAACAAGATCCGCAGTGAAGAGGTTGAGTTGCGGGTGTTGCCAGTGCAGGGATCTCCGAGGATTCTTGGAATTCCTGACGCAGCTTTTAGTAACAACAGCGACAAGACTATCTTCACCGCAGATGAAAGGGTCAAGAATCGGAGAGACACCCGAGGCTCATTGGTCTTCTCGAGTCTACCAAAATCAAGAGAACGACCCTTAGCACAACAGTCGCTGAACTTTATGCTTTGATGAAGTGTTTTGGTGCCTGTCTTGATGCAGAAATTCACATGCAAACCGACGCCAACAATCTCGTTTCTAGTGCTTCTGCTACTCACTCGCCCGAACAAGGAAACTGATTCACACCCTCCTTTTCGGCCCACGATTGAGCGCAAAGCTTTCTTGAACGCCTGGCTCCGTATGGAGTACGCGGTTTTAGGGCAAGTGCAACATGTCATTTTCATGCAGCAGCGTTTGTGAGTCATGTGCTGCTTCATGTTTGAGCTGTCAGTGCAATTCAGTGCATGGCTACGGCTACAGTGGCCTCTACCATAACAACACTCGGGACTCTGGCTGGGGTCGCGTTGGTTCATTCAAGGTGCAACACGTGAGCTGACGGGTGGATGCTCCTCCATGGAGCACAACAGTACACACTCAGCCATGGAGCCCTTCTGGAGAAGGTCATAGAACTCCACAAAGGTGGTACTCCAGCTACGAGGGAGGAACTTCTCAATGCGATGCTCCACTACTTCCTCAACGTTGGGGTCGATGAAGATGAGATCGGGGACCTTTCACTTGAGAAGATGCCGAGCCCATTTCTTCATCGTTTTGGAATTGCAGAAGATGGGCCAGTTCCTGAACCTTGTAAATATGTCTCGCGGTCGGAAGAGAACAGCTCCTTCCAGTTATGCGGACCTCATTGACTACGACGACACGGGATCATCGAGAGGGGCACTCATCAAGTCGATTGCTCAGAGCAAGTCACACCCTTTTCATGTTGTGTGAAGCATCTGAAGTTTCGACGGATGAGCTTGACTTCCTTTATGCAAGGGGATGGCAGACGATCCAGAACAACTCTGGTAGCATCAAGCGATTAGCAGGCTCGACGCTTGTCAGGACAGCTCATTCGCATCTCCCCCTCACTTACATGAATGTGGAGATTGTTTGCGGGAAGACCCTGCCGATTGGAGGTCAAGGAAATCGGGGTGAATTCCCTGATTCAGCAATGACTCGGACTTTGGAGAGAGCAGGCTCTGATCGCATCCGTGTTTGTATGTTTCATCTGAGAAACGATGTGGCAGCAAACAAGAACAAGGTTGCAATGGCTCATGAATGCTTGGGCGCCATGTTTGTCGAATGCCTTCACTACCAGGCCGACCTGATCAGTGGTGATCCCAACATGGCTCTATACAGAGCTACTGGTCGCAAACAAGAGTCCATGGATATTCGTGGTGGCATGTACCAGAGCCTTCTCGACTACCTCCTCGAAGCTTGGTCTGAGTCTCCGAAATGCCCTCATCTCTGCGCTCCCAAAGCACGGCATGTTTCCGCGAACAGTCTATGCCTCCTCAAACAATACGAAAACGCGCTTGGAGGCCAGCCTTACAAGGATTGTCCGAAGCCCGATTGGAATACGTTCCCAGGGCTTGATCCGTGATGGCAACTGTTCTGGAGTGGGGACACAGTATGTCTTTCGACCAGTGGGCGGAATTTTCGTCAAAACAGTCAGAATGCAGCATACATGTCTCTGAATGGCTCCTCAACTCTTCCAGCGCGTCATATCTTCTGACGACCGGGATTTCGACGCTCACACTCCCCTCCTGATCGAGGTTCATGCAAACCAGTACACATGTGGTCGAATGCGGGCGCTGAACCGAAACCCGGATACCATCAAAGAGACAGCTGATAGGAGGAAAGAGAGACAAAAGGCGAACAAGGTGCGATCATCTGGTGGTACCGTACCTTCAGCACCTCATGAAGTAGGCTCTCCACAGGGAGAGGGAACTTCTGGTGCCACGCGTGGCTCTCAACGTGCTGCCGAACCCGCACATCCTCCTGGTGGCAAAGCAGAAGGCGGAAAAGGAGGCAAGTCTTCCAAAGGCAAATCGAAGGGCAAGTCCAAAGGCAAGAGCAGGGGAAGAACTGACTGGGTTCTGACGTGGGCGAGGATGACTATGACTACATCTCTGATGAGGCCATGGACCCGAGCCCCATGAATCGCCTGGACAGTGTGGACCCCAGCTTTCGTTACGAACTACATACGTGGCGACTTGAACGTTGGCACTATCCTCGACGTCCAAATCCTTATGATGAAGAGCAGTTCGATCTGCAGGATCCACGGTTTCAACGATTCCTGAGGGCCCGTGCCGCTCTTCAGGCAAACACTGGTCCGATTGAAGAAGTGGACTGAATGTCTCACAGAATGCTTTTGACAGGAAAAGGTATCCACTTCGAGCATTTACCATTTCATAGAAAGATGCTTTTCTCAGGAAGAAGTACTTCCGAAAGACCTTGCCAAGAACAGAGAAGATACTTATCACAAGATAAGATACTTCCAGCCCTTACAATTGCCTTACTGTAAGAATGCCATTGCTGGCATCAAGTGGAGCTAAGCTTTACATTTTCTGTGCACTATGCTTTCCATCTGGCGAGGGAACTGTACAACTGGGCAACTTTCAAACAAAAGTTTTGAACCGAAGATCCGTTTGCGTTTCGTGTGCGTGTTCTGCTTTCTTTTTCATAAGCTGTCTCCAGGCTGAGATGTATAGCTTCTCACAAGTCGCAGTAATAATCCAACACTCCGCGTATTAATTCGTTTGGGCAATAACAGGCCAGTATAATGCCGACTTCACGGCCATGCAATCCTACGTGATTTTAAATTTGTGCCTGGTTGAAACACTGAATGTTACACATCCAGGTGCCTGTCTGTCTCACGTATCACTTGCATGTATCCGTGCCTGTTGCTCAAGGTTCTAGTGCGGCAGAGTACGATCTACAGCTGTGCGCCTGTAGTAAAAGAGACTGCAGTGTGCCTGTGTTCCTGTGCGCCTAGCGAGGGGACACACACCCAGGTTACATCTCAGGGGGTGGGGGGGAGGGAGCTGATTGCACAGCTGATTGCATTGAGCCGCTGAAGCGAGCACATGCAGTGTCGCAAGAGTCTAGGCCCCCTAACTCCACAACATTTCCACAAAACCTGCGCGGAGCTCACCCTCCGCAGGAAATAATTTGGCAAGAAAACCGGGTTTCAGGACTCCTTTCTCACCAAAAACTGGGATTCAGGAACTGACGAATGGTCTAAAGTAAAGACCTGGCGAGAAGTCGAAGTCGCGTGGGAGCATGGGCTTGAGCCTTCCCTGCAAGGAGGCTGCACATGGCCGGGCCTGGCTCATTTGCAAAGCCAGGCCTGGGCTCATTTCCCAAAGGTCACGTATGCCTGTACCAGCCACGATCTCAACTCCACCCTCCCGCTTGCAGCTGCACAGTACGATATGCAGCCGAGGATGGGGCCCGGATGTTACATTCCACATCATCCAGCATGTTGCCCTCCTACCTCCCACACGGCAGCCGGCATGCACTAAGCCTGACGCTGCAGAGAGTCGCCCCACACCAAGTAGCAAGCACGAGCGAAGTGCTTGCTGGACAAGAGCTCGGAACATAGCGCGGGGAGCAGCATCCCGTGCGGCTGCCGTAACGTGCTTGTGCCCACACAGCAGAAGTGCATTCACCAACACACCCATGCAGCGAAAGCCGTCGCCAACGCCATCAACGTACGAACTGATCTGCATTTGTGACTTACGAACACAGCAGCACAAGTAAATTTTAAGTGTACCGTGCTAAAGTTCCAAGCTGCTCGCGCCTACCGTGTTTTTGCTCTCGCCCTGCAGTGACGAATCATTTCGCAGCCTCTGGCTGCCCGAAACCCGGACGGAGGACCGAGGGAAGACCCCGGTTGGCTTGATTTGTGCAAGGCACGGCCCCACGTCTCTAGCCCTGAAACAGCCTGGAGCTTCACTCTGCCCGTATCAGCAGAGCCTTGGTCTGGCACAGAGCGATGAGGTGAGACACCTCTGCTGCCGCCATAAAGCACAGCCAGCGGAAAAGGACCTATGAAGGCTGCGATTCCGCATTCTAACGGGTCCGGCTTCGCCTGTTGGCCGAGCCAAGAGAGTGGAAGCCGGCACACTCAGTCACGCTCACATCGCTCGTCGCCCTCGACTCCTTCGTCGCTGTCAGCTTCAGAGAGCTGGGGCCACTCCTTTTCGCCGAGCGACGCTCGGCTGGGTAGTGCCTGGCACACCTTCGGAGCTCCACTTCGTCCTCGCTGAATCTTCTTTGCCTGCAGCCACAGCTCCTACAAAAGCATGGCTCTTGAGCTCGCAAAAATCAGAGATCCGCTGAGTGTTCATGACACAGCAGAAGTGATTCTGCAAAGAGAAAGCATATTGTCCAGAATGCGGCTGTTGTGTATTATGGTACTATGGTTGTCGAATGCATCCTGTCAGTACATGTCATCACGTTATCGTCCACCGGATATGCACGGCACGCTTGATCATCCAGGCAATAGGGCGACCTTCCAACATCTCGATCTGAGACCGCTGTCATCCGACAAACATCTGCCACACAAAAGAATCTGAAGAATTGAACAGGTCGTTGGAAGAAATCCTTCCGAGAAAAAAACCCAGGCTGTCAAGTCACTCTGCAGACAATCAACTCACTTGCAAAGACTGGGACATTCCAACAAAGCACACGAGCAACACTCTGACATTTTCACTTCTCCTTCAATACTGGTATGACGTGAGAGACCAGAAAAAAACTGTAGATATACTGGAGAGCCGTGCTGCATGCGGGCATGGCTACATGTCAGCACTGCAAGCTCAAAGGGCAGGCCTCCGTCTCGGTTGAAGCTGGTCTTAGCGCTCGCAGAGCTTGTGGCTCAGCTCCAGGAGTTCCGCGGAGACCTCCTCCCTCGCGCCCTCTCGGACGCGCCAGAGCGGCAGCACCTCCCAGCGCGGCCGCGGCCGCTCCGCCGCGTGAGGCAGCCGCAGCGCCGTTTGGGCCTCTGCCAGGACCGTGGGGCCGCCGCCGAGAGCCAAGACCCGCTCGGCTCCTCTGACTTAGGCTCCATGAGGCTTACATACCAGTACCTGCCCTTTTTGTAGGTTCTTGTTGCAAACCTTTCAATCAAATACAGAATTCGTAGAAACCCTAACAAATAGCAGGTTTTGGTGGCAAAGGGTAGAACTCAGGATTTAGGGTGTAGGGTTGAGGAATGTTGAGGATTTAGGGCTTGTTAGGGCAAGGTAATGTCAAAGTGCAAGGATTCGCCACACGTGCTGCTGGAGGGTCCTGTGACACGCGTGGAAAGCCAGCCCAAGCACAGGTTCTCGAGATCTGCCGTTGGCACCCCGAGGCCTCGCAGCTCTGCCCTGGCGCCCTCCACGCAGCCGTCAGAGACGAGCACCAGGAAGATGCGATCAAGCAAGCCTGCCCGGCTCCAGGATTGCAAGAACCTGCACGGAATGGAAGACGACCACACACGGACGCTTGCCCCCCCCTCCTCTGCGGCCGAGCGGCCCGTCCAGCTTGCCAGAGGCCTTGCGAAAAGCGACAGCATGATGCGAAGGCGAGGCCCGCAAGAATTCCGCGATGAAGCTGGTGAAGCTGTCTTCCTTAAACCAATCCTCGGAAAACTAACATCTTCAAAGCTGCAAACCACGTGCTAACCATAAGGATGTGTAGGGTGCCGTAAAGGGTGTGTCTCCATCTGCCGCAGAGCCTCGCCGTCCCACAGCAACGTGTCAGAACCCTTGGCCACGTCCGCGGCGCCAGCAAAGGACTCCAGTCCAGAGCCGAAGCCCTTCAAAGCCAGCAGCTTCCCCAGCCCCTTTTCCCTCGCGAAGCCTCGGAAGCCCGCCTCAGAGCGCAAAGCAGAGCGATTGAATGGTTTCAAAGCATCACGGAGCCGCCGAGCCTGGTCGAAGGAGTCCAACTCCAGGATGCCCCGAAGCTCCGCCACACCCGGAGCTGGGACCGCCATGACAGGAACAGAAGCGTGCGGGGCCTGAAAACTCTGACAGGGCTCGAGATTTACGAAGAGATTTATTAGAGCAATTAACAACAGGCCGACTCAAAGTTTCATCCAATGACTCATGCCGAATGCCGAATTCACACTTTGTTAAAACTGGATGTGTGTATGCACGCCCTGATAATAATCAATAAGGTCCGATATGAAATCAGTCACCATCGCGTGCGGGACACAAGCTCTGTTGAAACAGGTTGGATGGCAGCCATGGCAAGGGGAGAAGAAAATATGCTCGGTCGACACAAGTATAACAATAAGCAAACAGCCGTGACTGTGCCCTTGTTTTGCAAGTCGAAATTATGGTCAATCGCAGGTTAACTTGTCTTGAAGTGACACATTCGACAGAAATAGGATGGAAGACTGACAATCATGCACAATGATCTTAATTTCGCATCTTCTTTCCTCATGCATGCAAATCGACATGTCGCAATTGCCGGTGCTCTTTGCAAGTAACCATGGAAACGTCCAACATACAGCGAAAAGTTACATGGCCGGCAGAACTGCGTGAGGCTCAACCAGCAGCACCAACACCATGCAAAGCGTGAGCGCAATTCAGGAAAAATAGAAGCCTTTCTGAATCTTGGGGGAAAACTCTCATGTGCACCCGCCAATACGATTGGCCCACCAGAGAGCATGAGAGCATCACATGGAGGTTTGAACTTAGCCAGCAGTGCCCCGAAGCACAGACACTCAGACACCAGTCTTGTCTAGATTGGCGAGGCGGCTTCGACGACTGAAGCTGCCGTGCTGGGTCCGTGCTAACAAATTTAACAACCCAGAAAATGTTTCACCGGCAAGAGGCGGGTCGGCCGTCGCCACCGCAAATGTTGCTGGCAACCTGCCCCATACCTCCTATGGCAGCCGGGAGTGCATGAATAAACATGGGACTCATGTCATAAACGTAGACTACAATCTAGTAGTATCTAAGAATCTGATACGTACTTATGCCACATAAACCCAAGCCTAGTTGCTAAATACTCTCAACCTCCAAGTAGGTACCCTGCGACCCGACACCAGTGAATCCGAGCCCTACGCCCAACACCTGAAACATGGTGCACTACCGTATTTCGCCCTTACGTTAGCCTAAAGGCCCCCGTCCTTGTTTGGAAGACCGGTGCTTCTTTCAGAGGCAGGCAGGGTGCACCAAAACGGCTCGAGCCAGTCGTGGCCGGGGACACGGGGTTTAGGGGCTTTCGGGGTTCAGGGTTTATGTTTAAGTAACAAACCCCAATCTTGGACCTCGGACTGCAGGAGGCGCCCGACGCCCAAGAACACTCACACCCTTTCTGCAGGAAGCATCGCCAAAAAACGGAATCAGTTTCACCATCTCAGACGTCCACGGATCTGGATCGTGCATGCGTCATCCCGCGGATAATCAGACGGATGGTTCGTGGAGCTGATGCATCCATCGGCATCAAGCGTGCATTGCCTCAACTCACCCTTCCCGCTGACTACAGTACGGCGTAGTCAAAAGAAGGCCCACTGCAAACTCAGTGCTGGGACGGCACCCGAAGTGCGACAAGTGCGACACGCAGCTCAGGACCGGGCCCGGATGTTACACTCCACGCCTGGGTGGTGCATAGCAGCATAGCAGCACAGCAGCGCTTGAAATCGCAACCAGCGTGTTGCGCATCTATCTCCTGCATGGCAGCCGGCATGAACTAAGCCTGGCGCTGCAGCAAGCCGCCCGATGCCAAGTAAGAGTACCAAGCACGAACGTAGCGCTTGCAGGAGAAAAGCTCGGAACATCACTAAGCGCCCTGCAACTCTAACACATTTGTGCCGACACAGCAGAAATGCATTCACAACGCCGCTGCAACTAGCAGAACGCATGCAACACAAGTGAGACCAAGGAACGAAACAGCAACAGCCCATTTTCAGTGTGGTTTGAGCACATTGAATGAAGAGGACAAGCATGGTACAAAAAAAGGGCTGCTCGTGCGTGCGGTGCTTTGCACTCTCGCCCTGCCATCTCGTAGCAGTTCCGAGCCTTTGGATGCAACTCTGACTCTAACCTTTGAGATTTCGGTCCACTTGAGGGAATGTGTTTTACTAGCCGCATAGTAGAACAACCAAAGGTGACCAGTGTCTAGAACAAGAATAATCCCGAAACCTATTTTTCGCGTCTCTTGAGACTGAAGGTCCCAATGGAGTTTTGCTGCTCAAGCGCTGCAAACTGCAAACTGCAACTCCGAAGGACATTGCATGAACTATACTCTTGCTGAAACTCATCGCGACGAGGGTCAGTCTACGCCCAAGCCGAATAATCCTTGGTCCTTGAACCCAAAACCAATCCGCCATTCGACAATTTCTTGCGGACCCAACATTGGCTCGGCTTGGGCCAGCCACTCGATTCCGGAGATGCTCGCTTCAGCAGGATCTGAATGCGCAATCAAAGCTGCTTCAAAACAGCAAGAGCTTAAAAGTTGGAAACGGGATGAAACAGGTCGACGTCCACCTGGTTAACAGTTGCAACGTCTCTACTTTGGGGACCTCTTGCGGTGTGGAAGCCTTGGTAGTGGAGAACCTCGGCTGGTTAGTGAAGTCCTGAAAAGCACCTCTAACGTCCCTCGACGCAAACCTCGTGCTCGCGCAGCACGACTTCTATCGGAGCTTGAACACTTCAAGATTGCTGCGTTCACAGTTTTCAAGCCCTCGAGTTACACACAAACAGACATCCGTCCCGCGAGATCGGGCGAGGAGCCCGGAAAACTCTGCCCGCGGAGGCGGAGGTCGGCGTGGAATCTCCCCGGTCAGGCCTCGGCCAGTCGCGATCCACTATCATGTTCACCAATGCCCAGCCCAGGGGAAAGTGCTGCGACATGGCAAAAATGGATGTCACCGCCTCACCCATATTACTTCCAATCTTTCTTCCCTGCCCATGCACTAAACATCTCCTATGTCCATGGCCTCCCCAACCTTCTCTCGCGGCGGGCCGCACAGTACATTGCCGCAGTAGACAGTAGCCTGCGAATGGAAGACTTCAGCTGTGCTGGCAACGCACTCTGCTTCAGATCGAGCATCGACTTCATTTGCATACACCAACGAGCTGCGCATCCGCGACACCACTTCCTGAATACACACCAGCCTCAACCCCAAGCAGCAAGCAGCGGGATTCTGGGCATGACCAGCAAAGCAGACGGAAGCAACTCACGAAGGTGTTTTAAAATTTTATGAACAGACCGGTGTTCACCGTTCAGCAATAAAGCATCTGCCGGGGCTTGAAAGCAGATCGACAAGGTAGAGAAGCAGGGGCTGTCGGGAAGGGGGGCAAGAGGCGACTAAGGGTCACCATTCTGGGTTACAGCACGACTTGAGTCGATCGAGAAAGACTACGAGGTTGAAAACGCAAGAGTCTTAATTATACAGGTGCCTCAGAATTGTGGCAGGGGAAGATCCAACCGACAAGAACTGCCGACCGAATCCAAAGCCGAGGGGGGGGACGAAACGTTCGAACAAGATCACGGGCAAGGAGACAAGGGAAATTGAACAACTCCCTCGAAACATGCTCAAGAAGTTGAGCGATTGCTTCCTTACGCTTCTCAACTTCGAATCCTTTCTCCGCAACTTACACAGTTGTGTTAAGCTCGTCCCGATCGAACGGGTTGCTCCCCTCTTCCATCAACTTTTGCGCTGCTCCTTTGCGAACATCTCTGACGCATGGCGAGCAGCTTGCTGCCCTCTTTCTCCTTGCACCGTCCTCGACCGCGCTCTGCGGCGCTCTCGTCCTTTCGCAGGGTTCGCCGCACTTTGACAAGCCCCGAACTCATTTCCGACGGTTCTTGCTGCCGTCTTAAGTGGGTAGTAAACTGCCCCCTGACGGTGGCACAGAGCCCAGGCGGAAGCATATTGCTGTCGGCTGCATTCAGACGGCCTTGCTGCAGGTTGGGACCGCCCCGTACGTTTACCCTCCTCCATTTGCGTACGGGTTTGTCTTTGCAAAAGCTAGGGTAGTGCTAAAGGGGAAACCCTGACCCCCAGGCAGCCGACCCTACCTTTCTCCGGCCGCTACCATGTAAGCTCAAGGGCCCTTTGGCCACAGGGTGAGCCAAAGGGCAGCACACACTCTTTGGGCAAGAGCCAACGAAGGCGAAACTCAATCTTCACACAGGTCTAAAGTTTTTGGTTGCCCAAAGGTGCCCTGAAAGAAGGTGGCCAAAGTCACAGAAGGCCGGGGTAGCTTGCCATTAGGCTGTGGCTCCTCACTGTACAAAGCATCAAGCTCGAGGACACGCCACTGCATCTGTCCCTTGCCGACTTCGAAGAGGCCGATCGTAGTCCGAAGAGGCTTCGCAAGCCTTGAGGCTCGGGGCTCCGGGCATCTGAAGCTTTTAGCTCCTTCAGCCACCTGTACCAAGACACCGTCTTCCGAGTGCCAGCCGGGTTGCCGGGCTAGCCTGGTGACGTAGTTCTTCAGGTCGCCGTCTGGCAAAGGCTCTCCAGGCAGGGCCTGGTCCACACTCTCCGTCGTTGGAGCCGGCTTCTTTTTGCCCTTCTTGGACTTGACGAACTCCGGTTCGTGCTCTATACTCCACGTCCCACGGGACAGCACAGTACGCAGAGCTCCGGAATCCATCTCTTTCGTACCTCCATCGACAAACAAGTTGTCGGTGTGGGTCCATCTCATGGCCGTATTCGGCTCCCTGAGCTGTTGACGAAGCGAAGCCAACGTCAGTACCAAGCTCTTTTGGGCGCCAAAGCCAAGGTCGTTGCTACAGCGGTCATGCACGTCTTTGGCATCGGTAACTGCCACCAACGGCACGCTGTAGACGGACCGACGGTCCCGCAGGAGGGACGCTCCTCGGACTTCCGCCAGGAACGCGCGACACAGTTCCCCTGCGTCGAGCGCTTCCTCGACTCCCAAGGTTTCCGCCGCGTAAGACGAACGGCAGACCCGGGCGATCTTGTGCGACCGAAAGTCGAGGAGGTTGAACACCCCACGGCGGCCCTTCACCAACTCCTCGTCGGCAAGTAGCACGGCGTAACAGCCCTGGGAGAACAGCTTGAGGTTCCCCTTGACGTCCGCATTCACGTTTCCCAGCGCTGCATCCGATACAGTCACTAGTCCACCTTTCCACACGTCGACCGGGCGGTACGTAAGGGTAAAGTGGGCGTCGTTCTTGAGCTCCCGGGCAAGCTGCGCCGCCTTCAGTAAGGTTCCCACGGTGGGCGGCTGCTCGCTCTGTAAAGAACTCAAGGCGAAGCCGTGGTCGAAGCGCAGTTGGCTGACTAACCACTGCAGGCTGCCTACGACGGTCCTCAGCCGTCGGACCTCGCTGGGACTGAGCGCTCGCTCCAAGTCCTTGCGGTCGGCGCGTGAGACAACGGGCACGTGGAGGTTCTCGTGGTACTCAACCATGCTGATCTCCACGTGGCCATTCGGGAGGCGCCGGATTCGGCGTCCACAGTACTGGAAATCCGAGTGCGAGAGCGCACCGAATCCCAGTTCCTTCCCGATCTTTCGGAGGATCTCCAGGGCCGCCTTGCACCCGGCAAAGAGCAGGTCATCCACGTGCACCACCATCAGAGCCAAAAGCTCGCCAGAGGGGGCACGAAGATAAAAGAGAGCACCATCAAGTGCACTCTTGACCCATCCATGCTCCTGAAGAGTGCGACACAGGCGCAAATACCATTGCCGTGGCGCATCCGCGAGTCCAAAGACTCCCTTCAGGACGCGGAAGTCTTTTTTGAACTCTTTGGGTCTTCACTGGTCAGGCTGAGTCAGCCTCGTGTGCCGAGGCCTCCTTGGGCCCGAAGAGTGGTGCTAAGACGCAGTTTGTACAAGCCGTGAGAAAGCAGCTACCTCGAGACATGTCAGCATGAACATGAGACTGAACAACATGTCATGCCAACATCACTCTAGCTAGGTTTGTTAAGCTAGAGAAAGCTTCAAAGAGTTCGTGAACTACGTAGTCGGAAGCACAAGCAGACAGCCAGTACCACTACAGAAGGAGCGAGACTACAAGCAGGCTCAAGCACTCAAACTGTACACAGTGTTTCAGAGGAGCTCGTGGTAGCACTCAGTTCACTTCGCCAGCAGCCGCCGCACCAGCAGCCACCGAACCGGCAGCCACTGCGCCGTCAGCCACCGCGCCCGAAGAAGCGGCCCCAGCAGCCGCCGCCCCATCAGCAGCTGCGTCGTCGTCATCGTGTCGCCCATTCCCGGGTCTAGCAAGACGTCGTTTCTCACACCACTGGCGGTATGCCTCGCCCGCCTGAGCTGAGAGGTTGATGGCCTGCTTGGTCCATTCCTGAGCTTCGCGTCGTCGTCGATGCCAGGTGGCACGGGCAGAGTTGTGGTGCCTCCTGTGCATAACATCACGTGCAGCGGCATCGGCTTTGTCGTTGAGCAGTCTGCACAAGTCAACAGGCAAGGGAAAGTCTGGCGTCCAAGTGGCCTGACGTCCATGTGCAGGCATCCATCGCAGATTCAATTTTAAACCGCATCTGGTGGAAGTTTCAAGATGTGTGGCGATTTGTTGCACGAGCAGCTGAAGGGTCGCACACGACCGCGACTTAAGTGCAACAAGCGCGGCTTGACAGTCCACCAAGACGTACACTTCGCCTCGTGCCCCAGCCAAGGCAGCTGTAACGCACGTCTGGGCTAACTCACGGAGGGCCAGAAGCTCAGCACGGTAACTGGACTGGTCTTCGTCGTCGTCGCCAAAAGCAAAAGTCGAGAAACGACCAGCCTGGTGAAGAACGATTGCAGAGCCAGCCACGTCTTCAAGGTGTGAGCCGTCGGTGGCGATGCACGGTTGAGCCTCCTGGTCTGCCGCCAGAAGATTGCGAATAGCATCGGCAAGCTGTGCATGCTGCAAGGGCACTGGCTCAGGTGCAGCAGGGAAAGTTGCCAAAGGGGGGGCGAAGAACCTTTCAGAGGCCCGGTCAGCCGGAGGAACGACCGGGTTTGTCTCACGAAGTGTACTTAGGCTCGGGCAGCACCATGTTAGGTGCGCTCTCGACGGTTCAAGTTTATCGCAAATGCATGGTTTGTCTGCATCAGTCGGCGCTGGGCGGTGGGACCCGCAGTGTGTGTGCCAGAAGCTTGCTCCGGCTGCAACTGCGGCGCGTTTTTGCGCAAGATTTTCGGGATTAAGAAAGATTTTTCTATGCGCAGCAAAACAGAACCAGGCCTGCCTAGGGGGCTTAGGGAGACTAAAACCCGAAGCGGCGTTGGGGTCAACCCTGTGGTGCGAAGCTTTAATGCGACCGGCATTGTGCACGCCCTGCCGCACGTATTCTTCTTCCAGCCACTGGCGCAGGACCTTCAAGGAAGAGAACCCAAAGCGAAAAACTCGGCGGCACCCGTTGCTATCGGTTTTGGCAAGGCCCTCGCCATGAGGAAGGATGGTCCACTTATGTTTTCGGACCGCCTCAGCCGCCACCGGAAACAGATCCGACCACGGATCGACGGCCTCCCGGAGTGGCACATCATCAAGCCAGGAAGGTCGCTGTGCAACGAAGGACTGAACACGACGAAGGGCTGTGTAATCCTGCATGAAAAAGGGGTCTGTGTTCCACCCCATCATGCAGTGCTGCAAGAAGTACGGCACCTCGGGAGTGAAGCTTCTGCGAAAGGCAGCAAGGACCTCGGACCTGATGGTGGAGAGAACGGCATCGCCCGGGGAAGCAACTCCAGCACACCAAAAGACAGCCGAAAACCCCAAAGTCCACATGAGTTGAGTTTTTCGGTGGATGGGCACGGGAAGGTATTTGATGAAGCGGAGGCGCCACAGCACACGATCAAGCACCAACCTGAGCGGCTTTGGGGTGCTTCCCGACAAGTCGATTTCAACGCCTAAAATTTCAAGCGAAGTTTTCTGCGTGTAACCCTGCCGTTTCGCCAGGTCCTGAAGGGAAGTGTCGCCAGGAGCTGCGATGACAGAACATTTGGTGGGTTCGCACACTAAGTAGAAAGCTTTGTCGAACCTGGTGGATCGTTCCACCGCCTGCCCAATGGCTCGGGCAGGGTTGGCACTCTGCTCCGGCCACAGAAGCCTGTCGTCCACATACATAAGGCCTCGGATTGGGCCTTGTATGACGTAAGAGCTCCAAGCCACGCTGACTGCCAACGCCAACAAAGGACTTAGTGGGTCCCCCTGTACCAAGCCTCGTGAGACAGGAGTCCAGGCTTCGGCCGTAAATCCGCCTGCAACGAAGAGCCGCTCGGCACCCGAGTAGACGCTATTCAAGATGTGTTCCAGGCAGCTGGGTGCACCGAGCCGTCTGAGGATCGGGATTACGGCGTTAAGTTGAAGATGATCAAAAAAGCCTTTTAAATCTTGCACGGCAAAAGAATTTACTTGCCTTTTTAGGGCTGAAGCAATTCGAAGGTGTGCGTCTGCTGTTGAGAATCCCGGAGCCCCGCCGAAGGCACTCGGGCTGACCCAGGAGAGGATCCATTTTCTTAAACGTTTGCAAAGACATTTTGTGCCGATGCGCCAAGCAACTTGGAGAAGCCCGATCGGGCGTGTTGACGTTACCCGTTTGGGTAACAATGCCACGAGGCCACGGCGCCATTGCATCGGCGTCTGGGCTCCCTGCAGGATAGAGTTCCAAAGGCGTGTGAACTGAACCCACCAGGGCATGGGTAATTCAAGCAGATGATCAGACTTCCACGCGTCTGGCCCCGCCGCTTTTCCTTTCATTTGTTTTGCGACTGCAATCAGTTCCTCCGGTTCAAAAGAAAAAACGCCAGGAAATTCATTTGAAAAGGGGGCCCTTTTTGGCACTGCTTCAAGGATGCTTTGCATGGTAGGGGTGGTGAAGTTTAAGCCTGCTGGCGCAGTCCACAGTTCTGCCCACGCCTTGCCGTGTTGCTGCAAGATTGAAGTCGGATGTATCGCCGAGATGGCTTTGCTGACCTCCGGTGGCGCGGCGGCCGCATCACAAGCCTGCTGGGCGCGGGCTTTAACCCAAGCGATTTGCCTGTTGGGCTGCACCTGAATTCGCTGCCTCCACTGAGCCATGGCAGCGGAGCGTTCCTGTGCCACGTAAGGTTTCAGCAGTTCGTTAACACTGGGCAAAGCCGTTTCCTCGTGACCCTCTGGGAGCGAAGGGAGGTCCGGCACGCTCAAGCGAACACCTTGCAAGGATGATTTTACTTTCATGCGGAGGCTATTGTTAGAGGGGTCACGTCGTAACTCCTGCAACCGGTGACTTAAGTACTTAAGTGTCTTAAACCCTGCAGCCCCTTTGATTCGCGACCGTGGACTGTGATGCAAGGTTTTGGGAGCTGCTTGGGTTGCGGCTCACAGGGATCCGAGCGGGGCACAGTGCCAGGCTTGGCACCGAGATCACAGAGGCATTGCTCCGCGGTCCACGACAGCAACCTCCATGCTTCGTTGGTGTTGCCTGCATCGAGGACCTGTTCGAAGGCTTGGTGAGGCCAGCATTCGCTGAAGGATTCGTGTATATCTTCCTTAGGTCGATCCCTGATTTTGGCCCGAGGGGGAAGCTCAAAACCCGAAAAGTTAATCGAGAGGTTGAGGCAGTAGCCTACAGTGGTATGATCACATAAACCTTCATGGTGCCACACTTCAGTGGGGAAGATCGAAGGATCGCTCAAACCGTAATCTATGCGCCGAGTTCGGCCCGGGTTGGTGCAGCAGAGCTCCATGGGGAAAGGATCATCCATGGACCTAAGGGCTCCAGACATCAAGTGATTTTGTATCGAGCCTTCTTCTGAAGTCATGTTCCAATCACCGAACAGAATGTGTGGCCCTCGGAATGCATAGCACGCAGCCGCGAGCTCGTCCACCATGAGGTTGGTGGAGGGAAGATCACCCGAAAACCCATAGATGGCGACCATAAGGAGAGGTCGGCGGATGTGTGCAGCCTGGGTTTCCACGAGAATGGCTGCATGACGAGTCCGCGCAATTTCAGTAGTCAGGCTGACGGGGCGGCACTGAATGCGGCAAGCAACGGCAACCCTGTGCAATCCTGAGTGTGGCTCGGCTGCTGCCAAGACGATTTGCCATCCAAGGGTTCTCCATTCCCTAGCGTATGCTGCCGCACACCGCTTGGGGATGTCAACTTCTTGAAGGGAAATGATATCGGGATTAAAATTCTTTAAGTGCTGGAGGGTCAAAACAGTGCGTGAAATGCCAGCTCCAGCAAGGTTGCAAGAGGCAACCCTGATCACACCTGCGATTGGAGCTCACGCCCCTGGAGGGCTTGCTTGGCCAATGCAAAGATTTTAAGCGTCTCAGCCTCGGACATAGTATTTTTGCTTGGGTGCTTCAGGCACCAAGTGCGGACCTTGGCAAGATCGGCAAGCTTGCGTTTGCGGCCATTGGCTGCAGTGACAGCTTTGCAAGTTTTATGATTGTTGACACAAGCAAGGTTTTTGAAGCACATCTTACAATTGCCGCAGCGCCACGCTCGTATAAAAGAGATGCGGAGGTCTGGCCGGCCCTTGCGAAACTTTTTTAAAATAGGCCAAAGGAAGCTCTCATAGCCCTTGTGCAAAAGGTCAGTGCGCTTAGCAAAGGTTTTGGAGACGGCGGCGTTCCATTTCCT